ATGCCGCATTGCCCCTGTGCGTATGATAAGTGTGAGTAGATGATCAGCACGGCTGTCCTGTAGATCACCTGCAAGCTCTCCCACATCTCCTCCTGCAGATATAGCCGGATTTCTTCACTTTCGCCTCTTCGGGGTGAACATTTGTTTCGGTCCCGTTACTACTGAGCGGCGCCGACTGGTCAGTGGTTTTATAGCTCTGGAGATAAGACGTTCTAGTTAATTAATTTCAGGCGATTTTGGAGACAGGAAAATGTCTTCCCTTATAACACCAAAAGTTGCATGAAGATGAGAACTCCTGCCGAGAACAGAGTAAAATCTCAGTTCAGCGCAGTAAAAATAAAAACAGAAATATATTTTTCTGTATAAACGTGTGTATATTTGCCAACACGAAAAGGTTTATTTTACATGAGCTTCACTGTCCTGTCATGGTAAAATCACAATACAGTGCACTAAATCACAGTGAGATCAGGGTAAAAGCACTGTACAGTGCAGTAAATCACAGTGAGATCAGGGTAAAATCACAGTACAGTGCAGTTAATCACAGTGAGATCAGGGTAAAAGCACTGTACAGTGCAGTAAATCACAATGAGATCAGGGTAAAATCACAGTACAGTGCAGTTAATCACAGTGAGATCAGGGTAAAAGCACAGTACAGTGCAGTAAATCACAATGAGATCAAGGTAAAATCTCAGTCCAGTGCAGTAAAGCCCAGTGACATCAGGGTAAAATCCCAGTTCAGTGCAGTAAAGCCCAGTGAGATCAGGTTAAGGCACAGAGAGCTGTGTTGCAGTCACTCTGGACACTGGCTGTGGGTGACACTGACAGAGCCCCGTCAGGTAGGGTCTGTTCCTGATGGGGCTGGGAATCACAGAGAAAAACTACAGATTTACAGGGTGTGATCGCAGTTACCAACAGCCCTTGGTCTCACTTCAGCAAATGATGTGGTTTTATAATGGGCACATGAACTGTATTTAGAAGCTGTCTAAATTTAGTGTGTGATGATCTCAGAGTGTCAAACCACCTCGGAGCCCCAGACACAGCGCCCTGCAATAAATGTGTGTCCTGCACCTACTGTGTGATGCTTCATGTGGGTTATACAAAGCGCTGTAGTCTAGAGTGGTGTAGTATAGCAGTATAGTACCAGTGGTGTAGCGTGGTGTAGTATAGTTGTATAGTACCACTTATATTGTGTGGATGTACAGTGGGATAGTATAGAGGTATAGAGTGGTGTAGTATAGAGGTACAGCATGGTACTGGTGGTACTGGAGTTACTGGAGTGAACAGTGTAGGATAGTGGTGCAGCACCAGTTATATTTTGTCAATGTAGTGTTGTGTGGTATAGAGGTACAGTATAGCATGGTTTAGTGTAGTGGTACAGCAGTGTTATAGCGTGTCAGAGTATAGTAGGATAGTGGTATAGTGGTATGCGCCCATTCATGTGTTTTGACATGGCAGGTGTTCGGTGCACGAGACGTGACGGGCCCAGAGAAGGTTTGTCCCTGCCGAGCTCGGGACTCTGACCACTGGCGTGGTCAGTTCTCCTCGGCCAGCCCCGCCGCGCTGCTGCGCTCGGGCTGACGGGGAGCCAGAGGAGACAGCGGACACTCCGGCACCTGCTGAAGCTCAGTGTCACCGGCGGTGGAGAGAGGAGAGAGGAGTTCAGACTCACCATGCTGTCTGAGCTGTCCATCGCCCCGGGCTGCGGTCAGCAGGTCAGCAGGTCAGCTGGGCAGGCGGCCCGAAGTCAGGGAGGAATATTCCAGTTTCCCCGCGAGCAGGGGAGCACAGGGAGTGCGGGGATGCGTGGCGAGAGACTGACTCGAGTGGGTTCGAGAGCCGACTCCCCTGAGTCAGAGCGCAGCGCCCTAGCCTGAGAGAGAGAGCGAGAGAGCGAGAGAGAGAGAGAGCGAGCACAGGGCGAGCGAGAGGAAGTCATTCATAAACTTTTCTTACTGACTTGCAGAGAGTTGGTCTTCTGCAATAAACACAAGATGCACCATTTTTTAATCAGGGTTGCGGCTGTTTCAGCCTCAATCAACTAATAATTAACCAGCACAGTCATTTAGTACACTTTCCTGTTGTGGTGGTTATTTCTGGGTGTTTCTAGGCTATTGTGTCTGTATTGTATTGAATAAAACAATATAACAGAAAAGTAATGTATGTCAATATTAATTAACCAATATATTACACAAATATCATTTTGTAACCTTACAATTAAGAGATCACTGGTTCCAGTCTGGTCTGGGTCACTCTGTACCCCTGCAGTACAGAGATCACTGGTCCAGTCTGGGTCACACTGTA